AGAGAGAGAGAGAGAGAGAGAGAGAGAGAGAGAGAGAGAGAGAGAGAGAGAAAGTGAGAGAGGAGGCTTTGATAGGTAAAAAGAAGATAACGATTACTCACGTATAGAAACCAGTGGCAGACAGACTCGTGCAGTCCATGTAGGCGTCTGTGACCTACAGAAACAAAAATTCAGTCCAACTTGCTCTGACTGCCACCTGTATAAGACAACCACCTGTGCTAACGGCTACCTGTATAAGACAACCACCTGTAGAAACGGCCACTTCCCATTTGCCCCCTTGGGATGAAAAAAAATAATTTATAACGACACTGTATAAGACAAAGGCCAGTAAAGGAAGACATACAGGTGAAGAAATGGAAATGGATTGGACATACCTTGAGGAGACCCCCGACAAGCATCATCAGACAGGCTTTGACGTGGAATCCACAAGGAAAATGTACGGAAGGAAGACTAAAGATGACATGGAGGCGAGCGATACAAGCGGAAATGGAAAAGGCGGGAACATCAGGGAAACAGCTAGAAATGATGCACAGGACAGGCTTCGCTGGAGAAATGTTGTTGATGGCCTATGCTTCAAGGGGAGTTAAAAGGGGCAAGAGAGAGAGTATAAGACAATCACCTGTACAAAAGGCAAATTTCCGTTTACTCCTTGGTTTTAAAAAAAAAGAAATTAAATGTTATGACGTCACTGTGCAAGACAACCACCTATATAAGCGACCACTTTCATCCCCGACAATACATGGTCGTCTTAGACAGTATCCACTGTTCACGAACTACAGCAAGCAGTCAGAAAAATGGATCGTTCTTGTGGGACTTTAAAAGAGGGCTGCGCTCATTTGCTTATTTAACAAGTAGGCTATAGCCTTTTAGTAGTAGTAGTTGAAATTCATTATTATCATAAAAGTCCATATTCAAGCCCTATTCGCTAATTTTTACGTATAGACCTTTTTTGTAGTTGAACTGCGCAGCATCAAAGGTCATATTCAAGTCTTATTCGCTCATTTTTAGTAGGCTTCATCCTTTTAGTAGTTAAACTACATTATTACCATAAGCATAATAGTCCTTATTCAAGTCTTATTCGCTAATTATTACGAATAGACCTTTTTGCAGTTGAACTACGTAGGCTAACATCAACACCTTTTCACGAGGGCGAGAAAGACCCAGCCATAAAAACAAGTGGGTTTTTTTAAGGAAGACTGAATGTCACCGCAAAACGATTATAATTCACTCACCCACTGGTCCCATGAACCATTTGGCCTTTTCTTCACGATTGGCGCCAGCCGCGCTTTGAGCTTTTGACAAGCATCCTGAAAGCAAGACGAAGAAAACAAAAGGACGATAAAACAAACTATGTTTCTTATTATCATTTATTTAAAACATGCGTGTTTAAAATACGGAAACTGTGGTTGGCGGGCGCTCTGGTGTAATTTGCTCCTTCTTTCCTTTCAGACACCTAACATCCTTATCTCTCCTCCTCATTTTCTGTGTATGTTACTCGCCAGTTATACCTCTTATCTTCGGCACTTATATTATGACCTAACATTATTGAGTTGCAAGTGCCGTAAAACTCTTAAGGAAAACAAAACTAAAACTGAAACTGAAACTGAATCAAGGCCTGGCGGCAGGTTTTGTTCTGTTGATCATTTTTTAAAGGTATTTATTTATTTATTTATTTATTTACTCGTTCGTTCATTCGTTCATTCATTCATTTATTCACCTATTCATCTATTCATCTATTTATTTATTCATTTATTCACCTATTCATCTATTCATCTATTTATTTATTCATTTATTTATTCATTTATTTATTTATTTATTTATTCATTTATTCATTTATTTGAATATTTGAAATCACAACAGGTTCCAGGTTACGACATGAGCTGTGTGGGGTTCTGATATGTGTAGAGTCAGCATGATGGCAGCCTGGTGTCCTCAAACACGCCCACGACGTCAGAGGTAACACCGGGAAGAAGGAGAAGGAGAAGACCACTGAGGTGCACTAATCTTCCACAGTACCCTCAATAACAGTAAGCAGCGAAACGTGTCCCATAGCATACTATATATTGTTGCTGTCAGCGCTCTACGAAAGAGTTTAGGAATTACCGTGGGTGGTTGGTGGGTGCTCTGGTGTTGTTTTGCCTATCAAACATTTATCATCCTTATCTGTCCACCTTCTCTACCCTGTGTACGTTACTCTCTAAAAACACTTCTAATCTTCGACAGTTACATGACTAATGTGTGTTGCAAATGCCGTAAAATCTTACTAAAACTATAATAAGAGGTATTACAGTGAGCAAATTTAGTGCAAGTAACTGTTGACAACTTCTCAGTGATCGAAAGTATTAGCCTTTTTTTTGGGGGGGGGGTTTGGTCGTTGTTGTTTTGTTGGTTTGTTTTGTTTTGTTTTTGGTGTTGTTGGGGGT